GAGGGAACTGAGATGGGGAGAGAGGGGGTCAAAAAGAAACTTTAGTCTCCTCTGTAATGCTTTCATTTTCGATAAGAAGAATCTATTCATGGAATTTAAAATGAATGAATTTAGTGTTAAAGGTAGTAGTAAAAGCTGGCTCGAAGAGGCCTGGAACATTCTGGGCTTTAGGGTCACTTAAGATTTTTCAAGTCAAGCCATGGGGCCATCTGTTGCTTGGTGAAAATTGAGGCGTGGGGAGTCGGGAGACATGTCCCCACCTGGTGTCCCCATCTGGCTGCATGACCTTGGGAGAGTCCCATCCCCTTTCCTGACCTCAATGTCCTCATCTGCCCAATGGGAATCAGCTTTCTACATTACTCCGGGATGTGGGAGGATGAAGTGAGGGCACGAGGAGAATCGCATGAATGTAAGGGATTATTCTCTCGGTCAGGGGAGGAGAGGGCGCGGAGGCCTCTCCTCCACCTGCCAAGGGCACAAAGGAAGTGCAGGGAGGAGCTGGGGACCACCCAGGCGAGCAAACAGACCATCTGCTGGACAGGAGCATGTTGTCAGCAGCTGGGGGGCTGGGCCTGGACTCCTCACAGGCCAGACCTGGTAGAGCAGCCACCCAGGCTGTCGGAGAATCAGGACATTGACCCGGCCTCCCTCGCTGCTCTCTCCCAGCCCCAGTGCAGCCACAGCCTGTCACCTCCCCATGCCTCCATCATCACCCTCCCACTCCAACACAGCCACATGCAACCCCGAGGACTGCACCACACTTGCACCTTCCAGCCCGTCCCATCTCCAGAGCCAGACGGGGGCACAGAGGGGACTCTCACAAGGTCAGCCCAATCACACCGGCGCTTGCTCAAAACCATCCAGTGGGGTCTGAGGACAAAATCCCATCCCCTTAACCTCAGTCGACAAGGCCCAGCGTGGTCTGCGGCTCTTAATCCCCACTTTAAGGGCCTGGCCTCAGGGAGAATCAGCCTTAGTTACAATTCCCGCTCTTGGACTGGAGCGTGGCTCACACCTGTAATCCTAGCACTTTGGGAGTCCAAGGAGGGAGGATCGCTTGAGGTCAGGAGTTCGAGACTAGCCTGAGCAAGAACCGAGACCTCATCTCTACAGGAAAAAAAAGAGAATTCTGTTTCTTCCCCTCATTCATTCAAAAATGTTTAGCAAGCACCAACCATGGGCCAGGCACTGTTCTAGATGCTTGGGACACATCAGCGAACAAATGAAACAAAGATTCCTGCCCTCATGGAGCCTCCTTTCCAGTGAGGGAGATTAACAACAACTACGATAAGTAAATTCCATAGCATGCTGGGAGGAGACAAAAGCTATGGAAAAAAGGAAAGAAAAACAGAGCAGAGGAAATTGATCAGGAGTAGCAGGAGAGGCAGGGAGGACCTCACTGAGAAGGTGACATTTAAGAGAAGGGCCATGCAGACATCAGGGGAAAGCGCAGGAAGAGGGAGCCGCCAGTGCATGGGCCCTGAGGGGGGACCGGGCCCAGCTTGTCTGGGGAACAGCAAGGAGGCGGGAGATGACTCAGCGAGGCAGGACAGGTCATGGAGGGCCCTGTGGGCCCCTGCAAGGAATTTGGCTTTTACCGAGTGAGACGGGAGCCTTGGAGGATTTCGACCACAAAGGAGTGGGGGCAGGGGACAGGACCCGGAAAGACAGGAAGCCGAGCAGGGCTGTGATCCCAGCCAAGTTGTGTGCATGGCAGCTTCAGCCTGATCCCACAGGGGACTCTGGGGCGTAAGTTATACCTCAGAGTTATTCACGCACACCCGCCCTCAGCCCGGGCAAGGACGATGGGCTTCCATCCCCCTGTGACCATGGGTTACAGCTCAGAGGGAGGGTGAGCCCCACTCAGGAACCCCCAGGAGCCTGAGGGCTGTCACCTCTAGGGAGAGATGGGGGTGCTGGCCATTAAATGGAATCCCTGAAAAGGGGCCTGAGGGGAATGGGTGTGGCATCGTTCTTGTTGGCTCCAGTCCCCTGAGCTTGGGGTGGCTAAATATGGAGGGCATGCCCTGGTGCGACTAGGTAGACGTCTTCTGGTTAGAAAAGATTTAGGGATCACGCCGCCCAGAGCTGGAATCTCCTCTGTAATATCCTGACCCTGTGGCAGTCCAGCCTCAACTCACCTACTTCTTGCGATGGAGAACGAGTTACCCTTGAGTTAACTCTGTGTGTCTTTGGGTACTTTGGATTTTAGAAAGTAAAAAGTCCACTCATGCTTTCTATAAACACTGACCGAGCGTCTGTTGTGTGCCAGGCACCATTCCAGGTCCTGGAGATACAACAGTGGACAGGACAGACAAGGTCCCCACCCTAGGAGCTCACGACTAGAGAGGGAACTGTTTAGAGAAAAAACGTAGTAGAGTAAGTGCAGAGACCAGGGGCATCCAGGAAGCTGTGGGGGCCGAGAGGGGACTCTTGACCCTTGGGAGGAGGTGACGCCGAGCTGAGGAGTGGGGGCCATGTAGCAGTTACACAGGTATAAAGACATGGAGAAAATTAAGCCAGGCCAATGGAGGAGCGTGTGCAAAGGCTCTGAGAGTGCCATTGCTGGCCACCGCCCCCACGGCTACCCCTCGGCCCAGTGACCGTCCTGTCTTGTCTGGGTAATTGTAGCAGCCTCCTCTTAGGTCTCCCACACATGGGCAAAGAAGCTGGGGTATGCAGTCACTAACTCCTTTCTCTTCTTGGTAGGAGCTCACACTTGTGGGCATTAACTCACTGGCCTTCCTCACTCAACCCGCATCCATGAGCAGGGAGAAGCAGGAAGCCACCGCCATATGCAACAGTGTCTGCAGGTGACCTCCTAATCGATTTTGGCTGGGACATCAGCAGTGCCTTCCAGAACCCTGTACACTCAATGCCTTCTTCCCCTCCCCGACCTCATCTCCTACCCTCTCCCCCTTGCTCACTCTGTTCCATCTACCCTGGCTGTTCCCTCTGCCTGGAACACTCATCCCCCAGATAACCCCATGGCTCACCCTCTCACCTCCTCCCCACCGTGGCTCAAGTGCCACCTGCTCAGGGAAGCCCTCTCGGACCATGTCATCTCCTCCATCATCCCCTCTCCACTTTGCCCTGTGCGATTTTTCCTTATAAGTATTTGTATCACCTGACATGACACATTTACTTGTTCGTGTGTTGGTTGTCCCTCGCACCAGTCTGAGAGTTTCTGAGGGTAGGGACCACGTTTGGTTTTGCTCCTGGCAGAATCCCTATTACAGGGCCTGGGAAGTCAATAAATATTTGCTGGAACCTAAGTGATCTCCAAGAGTCTTCCAGGGTCTGACCATCTCAAGGTCTTGAGTACGACTATGACTCCCCCCGCAACACTTCTAGTGGCCAGAGGTGGCTTCTAAGGGCCAATCACTGCCAAGAAGCTGCTAATGTGGGAGTCTCTCTCAGCTCATTCCCATCCAGGCCCACCTGACAGGGGTCAGAGGTCAACTTGGTCTAGCCCTCTTTGGGCCCTAAGGTGGCGGAGATGTAGTGCAGGGTTCAGGCCCCGGGGATGCCTGGTGAGCCCTATTTCTCCTTTGGCGAATGGCCGCCTTTTCTTCACAGGGCCTGTGTCTGCGTTTCTGAACCAGAAGGTGTTTACACAAAACATCCTGGGTTTGGCGACAAATTCACCCTCAATGAGGAATCCTTAATGAATCTCCCTCCTTCCCCACGCCAGGCGGCTGCAGGGAAAATGAGCTGACGGCAGCCAAATGCCAGGCAAAGTGGAGGTGCTGCTGGGGCTGGCGGGGCCACAATGTGGGGGAGGGTTTTTTTTAGGGCCCAGAGGCAGCTGTGGTATGGACACCAGAGCCCTTCCGCACCCTCCTGGCTTGCGATGCAATGAGGCACTGCCCTTTTCCTGGCCTCAGTCTGCACCTGTGAAATGGGACAATAATAATCTCTTCCACACAAATGTTGCTTTTAAATTCAAGTAAGATAAGGAGTGTGAAAGGGCTTGGTTATAAGAGGTCAAAAGGGGAAAATAAAAAGCTGGGATTGACAGGGCAGGAGGTCAGAGTTCTAGAATCGGTCCTGCTGTTGACTTTTCAAAGTCCTTGCCTCTCTCTGAGCCTTGGTTTTTCCAACTATACAATGAGGGGTTTGGGCATGAAGATCTCTAGGGAAACCTCTGGTTCAGATGGGCAGCCGTTTTCCATCTGCCTGCCCCCTCTGAGAAGTCCTCCTGGTCCTACAGCCCACGCTGACTTGCTTTTCTGAGGTAGCATTTCATTGCCCACTGCCCAGTCTTCAGCCTCTTCCTTAGGTCTAGGTCAACTACTCTGGACGTGGGCCCAACACCCATGGGCTCAAGTGAACACTGGCCAAACTGAATTAAAAATGATTCGGGACGGGTATTTGTATACACAAGGAGTGCAATGCGCACTACCCGAAGGATGGACATATTTGAAACACGGACTTCGGTGGGGGGGGGGAACCAAGGGCAACACACGTAACCTAAACATATGTACACCCATAATTTGCTGAAATAAAAAAAAAAAAAATGATTCCTGCCTCCTTCCAATCCTGTGGAGAGACAATGGGGGGGGGATTTTTATTCATTCCCCATTTTATAATTTGAAAACCGAAGGTGTCAGAGGTTAAATATAAGTCACACTGCCACATGGGCCTTTTTGGTGTTCCTTAAATGGGAAGAATGATTTCTATTTCTCCACTACTAATCACTACCTGCCATAGTATATAATTATTTGTTTTGTCATTAATTGTCGTTTCCCACTAGGACGAAGTTCCACGAGGGCAGGGATTTTGTTTTGTTCACTGCTGCATCCTCAGCGCCGGAAACTGCCTGGCACATAGCAGGTGCTCAAGAAATATATGAAGGGCGGGAGGAGGTGGCAAGAGGCCCCGTTGCGGACTGCGCTCTCTGGGCCTGCAGGCGGCGCGCTAGACACGCCTCTAAAGCTAGGCCCCGCCTCTCGCTTCCGGCTGTCGCGTGCGCGTTGGAGCCTGCGCACCACCGTCCTTCTTTCAAATGCGCAGGCGCGCCGGAAGTGTTGTCAAAGCGGCGCGTGCGCGGTGGGAGCCAGAGGGGGGCCGGAGCGGATCTTCATCTGGGTCCAGTCAGAGCCGCAGCCGGAGTTGGTGGGCGCCATGCTGTCACCGGAGGCGGAGCGAGTGCTGCAGTACCTGGTCGAGGTGGAGGAGCTGGCCGAGGAGGTGCTGGCAGACAAGCGGCAGGTGGGAGGCCCGTCCGCGGCGCTGGGGCCTGGCGGCGAGCCGTAGCAAAGTGCGCGGGGTCGCAGTGGGTTGACCTGGGCTGGTGGTTTAACGGCTCCGAGACGACAGACGTGGGGCATTTGTGGGCTAACTTGGGTCAAACGCTTGACGCGACGCAGCGCGTCACTCGTTCGGCTGGTGTTAAGTGAGCGCCTGCTTTGTGCTGGGTATTCCCTCTCCATCCTTTCTCTGCCCCTTACCGTGCTCTTCGGATCCCGACCCTGGGCAGTTTCCCTGAGCATCTGTTTCAAAATGCAGTTCCCCGGCCCCCTCATTGATCTGGATGCACCGGCCAGTCAAGGCCCTCGGGGGAGAAGAGGAACAGAAAAGAGGCCCGAGGGGCCTTGTGACTGGGCAGGGGCGAGGACGTGGGGGAAGGTGGGGCCCTGTTTATGGAGGACCTTGTAGTGTTTGGGTCAGGTTCTAACTTAAGTGCCAAGTCTTTGAAGGGAATTCATGAGGGAGGGAAGGGAAGGGAGGGTGATGTAATTGCATTTAGGTTTTGAAAGGATCCCACTGGCTGCTGGGTGGAGGCAGGGAGATGGGTGAGGGGCCATTGCCACGGTCCAGATGAGAGATGGGTTTGGATCAGGTGGTGGTGATGGAGAGAAGTGAATGGGTCAGAAATATATTTTGGAGATAGACTTAGTACGCTGTGATAAAGGTTACATAAAGGGGTGAGGGAGCAGGAGTCAAGAATGATTCATGACTGTCATCTCCAGGTAGAATGCTGGGGTGGCCAGTCAGGTACTGAGAGGGGGAAGAGCGTACAAATGAAATACTGGGTCAGGGTGGGCTGCATGGGAATCACAGGAGCAGTTAAGGTTTATCGAGTACCTGTCGTGTGTCAGGTACTGCGTTAACTCATTTGATTTCTGGTTCAATAACCTGTGTGAGGTAGGTACTGTTTCTATCTCTGCTTTTCCGAGCAGTAAATAGGAAGGTGAAATTACACAGCTTATAGCTGGCAGCAGGGTTCAAACCTGGGCATTCCAGCTACAGAGCCAGCACTCTGAAGCCGCGTACCGTACTGCCTCCTCACTTCCTTAGTAGCTATTGCGTTGTCGTCACCATCTCAGTGCGCCTACCTCTGCTGTTGCAGTCTTGTGTTGTTGGGTTTTTCTTAATACTAGGTCACAGTCACCTGGAGAAGTTTGTTCAAAAATAGAGCTTCTTAGGCCTGTTTAATCGCAATGTGTACAGAAGGAGTTTCCACTTTCCCAGTAATTCCGATATGCCCTAAAGTTTGAGTAGATAATACAAAATTACCCATTTAGTCAGCAGACATTTTCGCAGCACCTTCTCTGGGGGAAAGGCACCTGCACAAAGCATTGTCTTTAAGAACTCGGAAACTGAGTGGGAGAAGAAATAGACTCGCACATCAGTCCATTTTAGGTAGGACATTGGAAGTCACCTAGGAATGATGCCTTGTCTCTTCAACCCCTTGTCTGTCAAGAGGTGACAGGCTGGGGCAAGAGGCAGCTGAGTTCCTGCCCCTGTGGTTTTCAGATTGTGGACCTGGACACTAAAAGGAATCAGAACCGAGAGGGCCTGAGGGCCCTGCAGAAGGATCTCAGCCTCTCTGGTAAGTTGAAACTTCCCCACTGCAGCCCTGGAGACCTGTCGTTCAATCACCTTGTCCCCGATAGAGACCAGGCAGGAGGCCACAGATGTGTGACTCAGCCTTGTGGGAAACTGAAACAGCCCGTGGAGATGGGGAGCCAGTGTTGCAAGTCTGACACAGACTGTGGCTCGGGATTCCAGCTGCTCACTCCCGTGACAGGCTGCTAGTTCCCGGCTCCTCGACGATGCCAGACACTGAGAGAGTGCTGGGGGTATGTGAAAATGACGCTTCCTGCCCTTGTGCTCTTCAGATGAGAAAAACAGTGTAAAATAGATAATCGAAAACTGAGAAAGCTACAGACGGAATTGGACTTGGGGTAGGTGTTGGGTGTTGAGAATATGCAGGAGATGCCCTATAGATGAAGCCAACTGTCTGTGGCAGAGCAAACACGTGGAGAGAGTAAGCATGGCTGGAGAGAGCAGCAGAGACCAGGCCGTGATGAAGGGCCTTGGGGGCCAAGAGAGGAAGTTTGGGTTTTGTTGAGAGTGCATTGAAATGTGTGCAACCTTCCAGTTGCTCCTTAACCTTACTGGAGTAAAATCCAGAGTCCTGCAAGACTCCACGTAACCCAGCCCCCGGTGAACGCTCCAGTATCACCTTCTCTACTCCCCCCTACTCATGACTCCACCCTCACTGGTCTCCTTACTGTTCTAACACCTCAAGCACACCGCTGACCTTTGCTGTTCCCTGTTTCCTCTGTCTTGCTCATACTCTCACCTTCTTCGGGTCTCTGCCCAGGTGTCACATAATCACCGAGGCATTCTCAGACTCCCTGGTATAAGTAATAAGTTCCTCCTCGACTTCAGCATTCCCTATTCCCTCTTAGCCTGCCTTGTTTTGCAGCTCTTATCAGGGTCTGACAAATCATATCTTTGTTTATTTATTCCCTCTATTCCTCTGTAGTACAAACTCCACGAGGGCAGGAACTTTGTATTTTTCTGCTATGTTCTCAGCATCTAAAACAATGCCTAGCAGACAGTAGGTGCTCAAAAAAACATTTGTTGAAGGAATGACCATTTGCTCTTTCAGAAGATGTGATGGTTTGCTTCGGGAACATGTTCATCAAGATGCCTCACCCTCAGACAAAGGAGATGATTGAGAAAGGTAAGGCCTCCTGGGGTGGGTCAGGGATATGGCTGCCTCTGTCACAGCTCTGGTCTTAAACCAGAACTGAGAGTCAGGCTTTGGGCAGCTTGATAAGAGGTGACTGTGTTACAGGGTTCAGACTGATGCGGGTTTTAATCCCAGCTCTGCCACTGTGGGTTATTTTGTCATCTCTAAAAGGGGGATGTGTTTACGTAGCACAGTTGTTGTGAAGTTGAGATAAAACAGTGTGTGTGCCTAGCATAGTACTTGTTTATCAGTGAGGAACGAGTTGGGCTGCAAATAAGAGAAAACCTGAAAAAATTGAGGCTTAAGGACATAGGGTTCTATTTTTCTCATGTAAGGAGTGGTCCAGAAGCGTGCAGTCCAACTGTGCCCCAGCAGTGGCACCTTAGCATATTCTCACCGTTACAGTGTCATCATGCAGGCCTCATGTCGTCCAGGCTGGAAGAAAGGCAAAAGGCATTCTCCACATATGGCCTTGCCTTCTATTTTGGCAATAAGGCCATCCTCCCTGGGACTTCCTGCCAGCATTCCATTGGCCAGAACTAAGTCACATGACCACCGATAGCTGCAAAGGAGCCTGGGAGAGTGAGCTTTTCTTTTTCACATCCCCTGCAAAAGAGACTGGGTTTGAAAATGCAGGTGTGTGGGGAGTGAACCTACAGGGTCTGCGTGTATTCAAAATTCCAGAGCCAGGATCCTGGAAGTTCTTTGGAGAGGCATCATAAGAGCAAAAAAAGCATCATAAGAGCAAATGGGTTCTTGGCTGGGAAGGGGGCAGGTCATGCGTATTTTCTCTTTTATACCCTTGAAAACATACGGCCAAGAGGACCAGCAGGGTTGCCTCAGTCCCTAAAGACAGGGTGTCTCCATACCTCTTTAAATCAAAATGTTAGCAGAGGAAACTAGATCCAGCCTGCAGAAGTCTCTTGCTGTTCTGTTGAAAAACACACAGTAATATCATGAGGTTGTAAAATTGAAAGTCGTCATTGTGCTTGGCAGTGGGCTGGAAGCTGCTCGGACCGAGTTTTCAGAGGGGGTCACCTGCCTGGGTTGAGGTTGTGGACTTTGGCTCTGTTGGCCCACAAATGTGGTTTTGTCATTGTACCTAGAGGGGTTCTGGAACATCATCAGGGTTTTCAGGGATTGACACAGGCTAAATAACCTCATGAGGCACTGGGTTCACTCATTTACAATGAGAAACAGAACCGCTGCCCAGGCGACAAGGCTTGGCCAGTCAGGGCTTCCCCCATCACAAAGAATGAAAGTCTTCGGGGAAGACAGACTAGCCAGAATGTCATTTGTGAGCAAGTGGAGTTGGTTGGGTGATCTTAGTTGATTGATCACCAAGCTTTGATAACTGTCTCTGTCATCATACCAACTCTTCTCAGAGGCTATCCGTGACTCTAGGAAACCTTTTCTGTTTACAGTGGCTAATTAAGTTAAGCTTGAGCATTAGGCTAACCCATTGATTATTTAGGTCACATGTTTCCACACACACACTTTTCTAAAAACTCCTTACCTTGATGTACTGGGTTTGTAAAATTCCTCAGCAATCCATTTTCCAGCCTTCTAGGTTGGGCCAGGTCTATAGGTGCTTCATTTTGTTTTTGCATTCGAATTTTCCATATATTCTGAATTTAGAGGGTGGTCTAAATCCTGGTGTTGCCTTCCCCATCCACTGACCACAAAAGGTCAGTGACCTGGAAGTCAGGGGACTAGTGTATCCTGGCTGAGTGGTCTTGGCAGGTCACGTCCTTTCTATCCTTGAGTCCTTCCTCCATTGGTCTCTGAGGTCCTCTTTTCCTTCCCGAATGCTAAGTGCCTTTGCCCTCAAGGGGGATGGGGAGAGGCTGGTGTCTGAACTCCCTGGGTCAGTCAGACTGTGGAATAACCTCATCCTCTCTTTGCCCACCTCATTTTTTCAGATCAGGAACATCTGGATAAAGAAATAGAAAAACTCCGGAAACAACTTAAAGTGAAGGTCAACCGCCTCTTTGAGGCCCAAGGTATGGGCCTGGGGGAACTGGAAACCAGGAGGCAGAGAGCCATCAGCACAGACTTTGCAGGGCAGGGGTGGGAAGCCCCTCAGAGGCGGGCAGTGGCCTGGGCAGCATGTGAGTGGCTGTTCGTAGCTGCCCAGAGATAGAATGGGGGCAGGGAGGTTTGTAGCATCTTATTCTTGTCACAGCTTTGCCAGGTCCCAGGAACTGTCTGGGCTGGGGAGCAGGGTAGCTCTGACTAAGGAAACTCAGAAGGCTTCAGTCAGGTGGTCAAGGTCAGGGCTGAAATTCTGGATACACCCAAGCACTCCAGATTGGTCATAGATGTGGCAAAAATCTGGAGGTCTCTGGGCAGCAGAGCCAGGACTTTGGGGGTTCATGGTGACCCAGGAGTGGGTAATGATACCTCATCTGGTGCATTGCAGAATTTGAGACCCATCCCTGTCAACCTCGAGGCCGGGTTTGGCAGCATTAATGCAGCGTCAGCCCCTTTCCTGGGCCTGACTCCAGAGCCAGCAGGAGCCTGACTTGCTGACGGATTGTCTTCTTCCCCAGGCAAACCGGAGCTGAAGGGTTTTAACCTGACCCCCCTCAACCAGGACGAGCTTAAAGCTCTCAAGATCATCCTGAAAGGATGAGACTCAAGAAGCAAGATGGGGGACCGATGACCAGCATCCCCCCTGGGGTCATGGAGGACTCAGGACCTTCTAGGCTTGAAACCTGCAAAGACAGCATCTGCCCTGTACAGGGACAGGCATCAGGAATCCGGCCACGACTCCTGTACGGAGCCTCTTTGTGCGTAGTGCTTGGCTGCTCTGTGATGGCAGGAGGGCAGCCTCGGCCTGCCGCTGTCTGCCGGACCTGACCACCAGGGCTCAGTGCACACAAGACCTATTGACGGGCCCTGGCGGCCACCAGTGGGTGTGTGGGGCAGTGCCTGCGGGGGCGTGAGAATGACTGCAACGGGCACTTCTCAACAATGGCCTGCTGTTCACACAGCCTGGCAGGGGAGAACGGAGAGGGCCAGAGCGGGATGTCATCCCAGCGTCCCTTTCGGAAAAGAGGAGAGGTGTTTTCAGGCAAGTGTAGCGGAATTGGAACAAAGCAGGGAGCTCACGAGTGGTTTGTGAATGAAGGACAGACTCTCGGTGCCTTGTGTGCACCACAGCCGTCTGTGGGGCAGACACATTTCCCCACTGCCTCCAGTTCTGCCCTTCCTTCCCGCTTGCTTCCAGGAGTGCGTGCTGCTTGTCAACCGCCGTGGTCCTCTTTAGTCAGGAGGGCCTTGCAGAGTCCTGCACCAGGGGTGGGTGAGTGGGGCCGCCGCTTAACATGCTGCGCGTGTCAGGCATGCCCCTCCACCACCTCTGAAAGCAGGGCCTGGCCAGCGCTGCTCAGAGTCCCGTCTGCCTCGGTGGTCTGAGGTCCTAGTGTGAATGTGCCGTGAGGACAAAACTGTCTTTTGTGTTCCTTGAGGTCTCAATAAACGTTAGCTGACTGAATGAATAGCAGCTTCTGGTCTTTACTTAGTTGAGGGCATACGGCTCCTTTTAGGATGCCACCGCTGAAGGGGAGGCAGTACTTGCTTGAAATGAACTGGGACCAGACGGGCAGGTAACGAGTGGCAGCCTGCTAAGGGCACACCTCACCTGTTCCCCCCGCTCCACTTGGCTCTGGCCGATAGTTATGTAGGAACACGGGCCAGTATGGTTTTTTCAAGAGAAACTAGAAATTTGGATTGTTAAGTTGAATCTCCTGGCGTTTAAATAATGCTGACTAATTGAGAAAATGTTTAAAAATGTGGGTGCTGGTCAAATAAAAGACCTTACATGAGCCAAATTTGGCCCAGACCTCCAAGTTTGCATCCTCTTGTTTTGCGGAAGTTTCTGTGTGTTTTCCCCATGACGGCCCTAAGGAGTGGGGAGGTGGGATTGGAAACAAACTAAATGCCCATCCACGAGGGACTAGTTAAAGGAATCAATAGCTCCCAATAGTGGAATGCCTCACGTCTATAACTGAGAATAAGGGGCAAGCTCCAAGATACATTCAGTGAGAAAAGCAAGGGGCAAAACAGGCGTCTTAAAGCTCATCGTTTGTGTCTGAGCACCATGTGCTTCCCTCAGAACAGCAGCTGAGGGGGTGGGGCACAAGGGTGGGAGGAAAGGAGATGTCACCATATACCCTTTTGTGAATTAAGGATTTTAAACCGTATGAATACATTGCTTATTTTTAAATGTAAATTAAGTAGGAAGTTGCAAAATTCACCTTGGTAGATACTCTTTGGTATGACTGTCCGGCTCACAATTTCACTATTGGGATGTCGCCCCTTCCCACCTGGCTGGGTGGTTGCTAGCCCAGAGAGGGGCTAGCTCTCTTTCTCATGGAAATAGGGAACCTGCAGCCTGTGCCTGGGGATGTCCTTGCTTCATCACAAGGATGGAAGGAAGAAGCCCTCAAGCTCTGGCGGCAGAAGGTCCAGAGTAGCTTGGCTTCTGGCCTTCCTAAAGCTGGCTCGTTCACTCCTTGGATTTGCCAGTATTTTCTTTCTGAAAACCTTCCCTTTGGGCCTAAGATAGGCTGTCAGATTCTGCCACTTGCAGTCAGAATAACTGCCCTGAAGCAAGGAGAGTGAGGGAGTAGGTCCCCCATGGAGCCATTAGCCCATCAGCCTACCCTTGTTGCAACCCCTCCCCCCCCACTTTTTTTTAAGAGACAAGGTCTCACTCTGTCGCCCAGGCTGGAGGGCAGTGGTGGATCATAGCTCACTGGTGCCTCAAACTCCTGGGCTCAAGCAATCTTGCCTCAGCCCCCTGAGTAGCTGGGATGATAGGCGGGCACCACCTCGCCTGGCCCCTGCACCCCCTCTTAAACCAAGAGGAGGCTTAGAAATGTAGGAATGTGAAAAATGCAGAAATATTTACTTGGACCCAACTCCCCAAGTGACCTTGCCCATGAGCCCAAGGCTTTCTGGTTTAAAAAGCTTACCTTCCAACCTCAAAGAGGCATGTAGGTCACCCAGCTGACTTAGATAAATGCATCATTGCAGAGACCCTCCCTAAGCAGCTTCCTGATCCTTACCTTGTCCACACTGTGGCCCACTGGTTTTCAAATGGTGGTCAGGGAGCCCCATGGGTTCCCCTGATGTGCAAGGAGGAGAGGATGTGTTTCGGGCTCAGCACTTCCCCAGACCCCCAGTAAACACACAGTCTAGTAACTGCTTTGCAAGCACAGCTTAAAGACAAGTTCCTTAGCCTCTGAACTCTTGCTCCTGAAGGACCCTTTCAGCACTGACCTGAGAGACGTCCAAGTATCAAAGCCAGGAGGACTTGGCTGCAGCCAACAGCATCCTCTGAGCCAGACCTGTGCTCATTTATTAGGTGTGATCTCTCTGGGGTAGCAGAACTTGCTGCATTTGTCCTCTTTGGGCCCAATAGCCAAGCCAATCTGTCAAGGTTAAAACCCATCCAGTCCTGGGGATTGGCTGTCTCTTGGTGCAAAGATGCCCAGGGATGGGGTGGAGGTATCCAGGGGCCAATCCAAGCAGCAAGCAGCAGCTGCTGAGCCAGCGAAGCTGCTGCCAGGCCGGAGGGAGGGAGACGAATGCTGTGAGGTGCTGCTGTGCTGGAATCTGGGGGTGGGGAGAGGCTTGGGTGGCACCTCCCAGGGCCGCTTTCCTCCCAGTAGCCGGGGATCAACTGGAAGCTTTCTTCTGGACTTGAAGGGAGCAGAACAGCTGCCTCAGCTGTTTTTTCCGATCGTTGACACAGCCTGGAAGGGAAGGAGTATTGGCTGGGATGACCTATCCTTTGAGGAGTGGAGGGGCCTGTGCCCCGACTACCTGGTGGGAGCAGGGGCCAGCAGGAGCCCTGCCGCTGTGCGTGGCCCGTGGCTTGCATCCTGGCTCCGTTCCTGAACTGCATGGCCCTCGAGCAGGTCATTTACCCTTGTGAGCATCGGTTCTCTCGCCTGTAAACCAGGATACTTCCTGCCTTCTGGAGGGAGCATGAGGATTCATCAGCAAAGGCTAACATTGATTGGGGGCTTCTCTGAAACTGGGGACTGCTTTAGGGTCCGAATACAGAGGAACTTGTTGAGCCCTCTTGGGAATGATGTGTACAAGGAAGAACGGGCTCAGAGAGGTTAAGTCATTTGAACCCAGGCTACCAGGTGCCAGAGCCACACCCTTAACCACGACTGCACTCCGCCTTTCCTCCTGGCTTTGCTCAGTGAAAACACATTGAAAGCACAGTGCCTGGTACCTAATAGGTGCCCAGTAATGTCAGCTTTCTTCTATTGCCCAGCCCACGTGCCAGGCACAATTGGCTAAGAGATGCATTTTCCCCACAAGTGGCCCCTGGTCTCACGGAAGCGTGTCCCAGGCAGGCCGTGGCCAGAGGCTGCCGTGAGCCGCTGAGACGCCTCCTCTCTCCGCACATTCACGGTGTCAACCTGTTTGCCGTCTGCTGTCAGAGCTGAACCTTGAGGCAACTCCACGGTCACTTAATAATGTGCCAGGCACATTGATGGCACTCAAAAATGCTGCTTGAATGACAGAATCTCTGTGTCCACAGTACTGACCTGGAAGTGTCTGCCATCTTTCATAGCACCCCACACCCTGTCCCTGCTTCCTAGGCACTCACCAGCCGTGAAGGCTGCACTGAGCAGACAGCCCACTACGTGCATCCTGAGGGTTTCCCAAAGCGAGTTCCATGGAGCCCTGGCTTTAGCTGTATCTGGCCCAGTCATAACTCCCAAGTCTTCGTGTCCACTGCAAACTTCTTTCGGGGGTTCTAGACTCATCTCTGAGTAATCTGCTGACCTCTTCACCTGGATGTCCATGAGCACCTCCCTAGCTCAATTCATCAGTCCTCCTCCTACTCCAACCGGCTCCTCCTGCATTTACCACCACCCACCCAAACACGTGACTGGAAACTTGGGAATAATTCTGGAGACTTCTAAAGCAGAGGCTCTCAAACTGGGCTGCCTATTAGAGTCACTTGGGACTTTAAAAAATACTGATGCCCGGAGCAGCCATATCTTTATTTCTGGCAGGCATCAGTGTACTTTAAAGCTCCCGTGTGATTCCAATATGCAGCCAAGGGGCAGAATCACTGTCTACACCTTTGCTACTCAACAGGGGTTGAGGAACTAGCAGCATTGACATCTGAGGTGCATTTTTAGCAAAGATGGCTGCAACAATTCCATTCCTATATGCACACCTCTCCGCAAGGTGACTTTGCCGTTTTTCTCATCAAGAGGTAGAGTCTGTTTCCTTATCCGGTGGCTGGGCTGGACTAGCAAATTGCTTTGATTAGTGGATTATAGCAGAATGACATTATGAGACTTCTGAGCCTAGGCCTCAAAAGGCTTTGCAATGTCTTTTCTCACCTTCTTGGAACCCTGAGTCTACCATCTGAAGAAGCCAGGGCTAGATGGTTGCAGGATGGGGAGCCACGTGGAACTAGAGGCCCAGCTGACAGCCAGTTTCAACCCCCACACGTGTGAAAGAGGCTATTCTAGGCCATCGAGTCTCAGTAACTCTGCCAGGTGCCTGCAGCCCTGTGAGTGACCCCAGGAGAGACCTGAAGAATCATGAGCAAATGAAACAGTCATTTTAAGCTGCTAGGTTTGGGGAGGGTTTGTTACCCAGCAATAGTTAACCAATAGAGCATCACCCAGGAGCTTGTTAGAAATGCAGTCTTGGGCCCCACCCTAGACTTACTGAATCACAATCAATATTTAACAAGATTTCCAAGTGATCATATGCACATTAAAGCTTGAAAAGTGTTATACAGTCATCCAAAACCTTATAAATTTAGAAAACTGTAAACAACCCATAGAAAGATAGAAAAAAAGTCAGGACAGCTTACAAAAGAAATAAACATTTTAAAAACTGAAACCTCACCAGTAATCAATGGAAGGCACATAAAATTATAATAAGTTAGTACTTTGTACCTGGCAAGTTGGCACAGATTTTTTTTTAAATTAAAAACTGGCAAATTCGCATAATCTTTCTGGAAAGCAACTTGGTTGTAATAAATCCATTCCTTTGACCCAGTTATTCTACTTCTAGGAATCTGTCGTAAGGAAACAGCCAGCATTTCAGTTAAGCTTTATATGAGAGGATGTTCATCATGGCATTATTTATAAAAGTAAAAAATTGCAGTTGTGCCAAATACCAATTATAAGAAATTGGTTTAGTAAATTTTGGCACATATATGAGCTGAAATATGGTAAATTTTGTTTTTAACTCCGCCAAGGAGCAACAGAGTGTAGCGATCAAGTGCTCAGGTTTTGGAGTCAGACAGACTGGAGCTCAAGTCCGGCTCACCTTTTGTGACCCAGACTTTCAGAAAGTTATATAACACCTGGAGACCATTTCCTCATCTGTAAAATGACAATAAAAGCTGCCTAAAGATAAAATGAGATAACGTATGTAAAACATTCCATCCAGACCTGGCCAAAAAGTGCTTCCAA